TTTTTTTCTTTTTGCTTATGTGGTGCTGAGGAATCGAACCCAGGGCCTCGAGCATGCAAGGCAAGCGCTCTACCACTGAGCCACCTTCCCAGCCCCAATTCCTTTCTTTTTTAAGGTCAAGTAAATATAACTATAACTTGTCGTGTATTTCCTGCAACCCATAGAATGTGTTATGTATCCCATCAGACCCACTTCTTAAAGTCTCAACAATAGAAACACATATTTTCTCACTCAGGCTTGGGGTATTGAAGAGGAAGCCCATGGTACTAAAAAGGAAAGTGAGCCAGCCCTCTTCCTAGCTCCTTCACTCTCCCCAGTTGCTAAATGACTCCTGGCTGGGCCTCCCTGCAGCTCTCAGCAAGTAGCTTCTTTTCAGAGGCCCCCATAGGGCTGAGTCGGGCTCACTTACAGGGAAAAAGGAAGACAGACAGCTTTGACTTTCTGGGCCACATTCTCTTTGCAGATTCAGGAAGATCCCAGTCTGTGCGGAGACAAACCCTCCATCTCTGCTGTGACCATGGAGCTGAGCAAAGAAACACTGGACACCATGTTAGATGGGCTCGGCCGCATCCGAGACCAGCTTTCTGCTGTGGCCAATAAATCATGAGACCAGCTGCAGGTACCACTGCTTGCCCCAGGGGCTGGTCCTTGAAAAAGCTCACCCTACCATGCAGCCTGCTGTGCAGTGGGCAGGAGCGTGGGATGGAGGGGCCAGAGGGACTGTGAAGAAACAGCTGGGTCCCTTGCTGTTCTCCCCTTTAGTCTTCCTGAGGCTGACACACAGAGGCCTCCATCTTTAAAGGCACCCAGGTGCATCTTCATGACTGCTGTAGCCAGAAGAAGGAATGTGTACTACTTCTTCAGCTGTCTCCACATAGCCATTTGGTGAACTCAGGCTGAAACTCCTGGGCTTACCTCATGAGTTTACTGCTGACAGTAACTCTGAGGAGTTCATTTCAAGCCCTGGATCACAGGAAGAATCAGGCTGGTGGTGCCAGCAATGTCTGCTTATCTGTCAGAGAAGCCAGGCAAATGCCACAGAGACTGGCCACTACTACCTGGGCCTTCAGGCCCGGCTGGACCACCTTCCTGATCCAGAAGTTCGAAACACTGCTGAGTGAAGATGTGGGAATGATCGGAAATAAATACGAGTCTTATGATTCTAGTCATGATTCTTTTCATCTGAATTGCTGCATTCAGCTAGCGCTGCCTCCCATTTTTTAAGATGTCCCAATGTTCTAATTCCCAGCCAAGCCCCTGATCCCTGATGTGCAGTAAAATCAGCCCAAGAGACTTCCCACTTTCCATCGGAAAAGACAGTCAGGAAGCACATACCATGACGGCATCTTAAGGATTTAACCATGTGATGTCAACTTGGCCACATGCACATCATAGGGACCCCATGGTGGGAACACCTTTCTCCTTCATTTGTCAAGATCATTCCTGGGACAACTGCATGCAACCTGCTTGCTGAATTCCTTGTCTTGGCAGGGGTGTGTGTATGTCTGGGTCTCTGTGTCTGTGTGTTTGTGTGTCTGTGTGTTGCAAAGAGGAGGTTAGGATATGTACTTGTGAGGCAGCCAGGGGCCAGAAACCAGCTGTCCTTCTCATTGTGGAAGTACTTGACATTTCCCCCCACTTTATTAGCAACAATTAGTTTACAAAGGGGTCTCATTTTGACATATATAGTGGCCCTCTATCCTCCCCTTTTCTCCCCTTCTCAGTGCAATCTCAAATACTGTTCCATGTTCACATGAATACATAAAGTATTCTGATCATATTCACCCTCTCCATTCACCCTCCTACTAGTGCCCACACCCCAGATGGGATCTGTTTTATATTCTTGTCGTTTTTGTGTGTATGCTAATTGTTCAGAGACTTCACTGGGATTTTATGCATGCATGTATAATAATTTAATCAGATTGCTTCCCTGGCTTACTCTAACTTCCCATTCCTAGTTCCCCCATTCTTCAACAGCTTTCAGTTCATTTCGTTTTACTATCTTCACTCAGATGTACTGTATTATTCACTCTAGCTCCTCTACCTGTTCTCTCAAAAAGTCCTACAATTATAAACATAAGTAACTCTATAATTAAAAGTGGGTGTTCATATTGGTGTGAAAGACAAAAGAGAGACAGAAAGATCCTGTATATGTTTATGTATATTTTTGTCTTTTATGTCTAGCATCTGTGTCTGAGGGAAAACATGACTTTGGTCCTTCTCAATTTGGCTTACATTGTTTAACTAGATCTCTAGTTCCATTTATTTTTTGCCATCTGACATGGTTTCATTTTTCTTTATGAAAAAAATTCTGCTGGCAGATTGTGGGGAAGAGGAAGCCTGTACTGTGGGTAGAAATGTAAATTACTGGAACCACTATGAAATCAGTATGGCAGTTTCTCAAAAAACAAAAAAATAGAACTACCACCATGTGATCCAGATCCATTGGTATCACTTTTGGTGTGTATCCAAAAGACTATAAATCAGGAAACAATAGAAACCCTTGCACACTTACGTGAACTGCAGTACTATTCATGATAGACAAGCTTGACCTTTAAGGATCAATTCCCACCACTCTTCTTTATTTCTAAGATTAAGTAATAATACCTGCTGTATAGGACTATGGTGGAGATTAAATGATACTACATACCTACACGTACTTAGCACTGTTCTGGTAAAACAGGAAAGGCTCAGTATTGTTAATCCTGACTACTAGTGGAAATGACAGTGATGTTCGCTGTTTCATCTGCATGTCATGGGATTGGTGGTTGACAGTCTGTTATCCTCCCTTCACTGATAAGGAAAGCAGCTCACTGAGCTTTAGTCACCTGCTGGCCAGCGGCCTCGTTAGGACTCGGGCTTTCTCTCTGTAACACATAGACAATAGAGTTCTATAACTGGTACCATTTGGAAAATTCTGGAAGGGAAGTAAAGATGAGAAATCTTACCTCTGTCCATCCAGACACTGGGAAATCAACACAAACTCCTCTTTGTCTGCTAAGTCCTGAAGCTACCCTTTTGGGTCCACACCTATGGTTGGGGAGATTCTGAGAGGCAAGGGCATGTGAGGTGGCCAGGGTGACCTGAGTGGTGTGGGACAGGACGGGAAGGGGCAAGCGTGGATGCCAGGGACCTGCAGCCCAGAGTTGGAGTGCCTTGCCCTGCCCCCCCCCACCTTCCTATTCACCAGCACGAAGACCCTAGTGGACACAGGGTTTCCCTTCCCGGAGTCATCCCAGATAACTGGCTCCAGACAGATTCAACTGAGGCACTTTATCCTAAAGCTGCTACAGAAAGGAATACCAGGGCATTACTGCCTGGCAGGGGCAGTACCACAGGCAAGGGGGTACCACCTATGGGCCACAAATCTCTACAAGTTCCTGCTCTCCACTCCCAACCCTAACACTGTCCCTTCACCCCCTGCCTCCACCTCCCCAGCTGTTCTTAGGACTGGCCCATTGGGCAGACAGGTGGAGGGTTACAGGAAGGGAATGCCCTGAAATAAACTGGAAGCATGCTCTGCCTCTCAACTTAGTGCCCCTGGAGTGGGCTATGGGGGCTATGGCCAAGCCTTATTCTGTATTGGGGCTGGAGGGTGGGGAAGGGAAGTAGGAGGCTCCTGGAGAATGTATTCAAACAATAAGACTTTGGACTTAAAAACAAAACAAAGAGCCATGGTTGTGTCCACAGTACCTGCCCTGGCTGCTCTACACATTCCACTTAGCTGACCACAAGCATGAATGGCACCTGGTTCTGATCCTGTGTACGTGCCACCTAGATGGTCTCAGGGACGTACGTGACTGGCGAAGGCAGTCTGGGAACAGCAGAGCAGACCTCCTCTCCATCTGTTCTAAGAAGAAAGCTAGCAATGTGAGCATCTGTCTTCTGCCACATAGAGAAAGCCCATTTGCAACAGACCATCTAGATCTCGGGGATGGAGAAAAGATGAAATGATATAGTGTTCCTGAAACCTGTTCTTCCCAGCTTATCCAACAATCCTGATGGAGACTGTGTAAAGTATACCCAGGATTTTTTTTTTAATCAGGAAAGAGAAGATACACAGACACAGAAGATTGTCATAAACTTTATGCCAACGGAGCCTGAGAAATAACATGCCAGGCCACACAGGGCCACATGGGAATGGACCATGTCCTCAAGGTAAGCCTGAACCAAGTGTTCCATCCTTTTCCCCATTTTCACTAAATATTGAGCCACCGGTCACCAAGAAAGAGTCTTTCATTCTGCTGAATTGGAGAACAAATCCCAGCAGAAGGCAGATAACACATTGCAACCTGATCAATGTGTAAAGCAGCATGATCATATTAACCCTGACCTCCACAGTTGGCCCTCGATGCTTGCGTGAGCAGTCAGGCAGAGCCCTCTCCCAGCACTATGAGTAGCAGACTGAAATTAGACTGGGCACCACTCTCAGAGGGAAAGGGGAAGTGGTTGATCAGGCACCCCGGGGAGCATGTAACCATCCCAGATGTTAGGCGTTTTGTCTACATGATTCAGATGGCTTGATTGCCAGTACTGCCCAGTCAATGGGTCAGACTTGTCCCTTGGCACTGGGAGGGTGGTTGTTCTTCAGCCCTTCAGTGGGATCTTGCCTCTGAAGAGGCATTTACCTATAAAACCCCAGCTGTTTGATCCTGGGCCTAGGCCCAGGCACTCTACCAATGGAGAGAAATGTGCTGAGGGCCCTGGTGCTCAGCCCCAGACATGATGCCCTGGATTATTAGGTACCCTGAGGAAGCCCAGTTTTCACTGCAGAATTTCTAGATTGGGAGTGGCTAGCAGGCAACAACTGGCAGAAGAACAATGCAGTAGCCTTGAGCTGTAGTCGCTCCAACAATGGTCAGTACCTTTCCAAACACTGGCTGCCGTCCCTTGGATCCAAGTAATAAGTCACACAGTGTTAAGGGCTTATTTGCTATCTGCATCTAGCATCAAACCACTCTGTTCACTGCACTAATTGTTCCAAATTGTTTTAATTAGGAATGTTAAGACATAAAGACAGAAAATTATTGTCCTGAAGGAAGAACAAAAGGCACAGGGCCATGGGTGGTGGCTCCATCCCATAATCTCAGCCACTTGGGAGGTTCGAGACCAACCACGGGCAAAACAACAACAAGAAAGTTAGCAAGACCCTGTCTCAAAGAACAAGGCAGGTGGCACATATACATTGCAAAACTCATAAGACCCTATCTGAAAAATAACTAAAGAAAAAGGGGTTTGCAGCATGGTTCAAGTGGCAAAGTATCTGCCTAGTGAACATCATGGGGTAAATAGTTGTGCATTGTATAGCAAAAGCAGTTCAGTCTGGGCTTAAGTAGGAACTCAAATCTACTCCTTTGGATCAAAGGCCAGTTGTTTTTACATTCCTACTCCAATTTAGGGAGAAGAAAACTCCTGGTTTGCTCCAAACATGGTGACTTTCAGGCTCTTTCATCTATCCTGCCTTTTCCACTTCCCTGGAGGTCACAACCATCCCCTATTGCCTCCAGTCTCTGGTGATTTTCAGGGCCAAAGCCAAATAGGCACAAGACCCAGGCACAGAAGTCAGGCCAGTTAGATTGCCTGTCTAGGCCCCTGATAGGTGCTGCTCCTGAACCCACAATGATGACATGTTAAGCCAAGATTAAGGGAAAGCATTCTTGAGAGAGAAAGAACAGCACAAGCAAAGGCTTTCTTCCCTGGGCTACATCCCTACCCAGGCCCAGGTGGTTGGAGAGAACCCAGGTCCTTCTCTAGGCTGGCCTCTTAGAAACAATGGTACTTGAACTCTTCACAGTGGTGGGAGTTCAGGCTACCAGTGCCTACCCCTCCATTGTCATGTCGGCAGTGAGTTTGTTGCTCTCATTCAGAACACCTGCCCATCTTTTCTCTTCCACCGTGGGGAAACTATGCTTGGGAGACTGCATTGTGAACAGATACCTCCACACCCATGCCCAAGGACTTAAAGCAGTGAATGAGACCCTAGGGTACAAAAATTAGAGAACGGTTCTAGTTGTTGGATCAGGAAACAGCTGGGGTAGACTTAGGAAGAGCAGTGAAAGTGATTGTTACTTGTCAATTTGCCATCCTAATCCATTCAACAGGGATTTACTGACAGGGACCCTGTGTGAAAGAAGATGGGACACAATGGATAACTGCTAGGCAGTC